AGTCCTCAAAACGTTCGTTTTTTCGACTAAAACGAACGTTTTTTAAAGATTGAGGACTAAATTGTACCTTACTTTGGAAGAGGGACGAAAACCAGAAACGGTCAATAGTTTAGGGACTAAAAACATATTTAACCCTTTATTGTTCATTTAAAGCGGATAATTGTGAATTTTTAATTACAAATTTGACTTTGACTTGTAGTTGGGCAGCATTACCAGGTTACAAAATTCAGAAGGGGGTGACACATTATGGACCCTTATGTTTTTAAAAGTTGAAATTGCACACTGCTGTTATTTTTCATTTGAAAAGAATGTTTGATTTGGAATATAGAACCAACATGATATGCTAGATGCCTCATTGTGCAGTTGTTGTTCACTCATCTTTGCCCAACTGGATTTTATCTTTGTTGAGGTCTTATAAGTGTATAATTATTGGTTGCAGTTTCTCTAAAATATGAATATAAGACCTACAAACTTTTGGGGTGAAAATAACAAGGAGGGGTAAAGGCCTTCCTGAATAAAGAGAGACTCAGAGACCCTTTAACAAGAACAAGAAACAATTTCTAGGAAAAGAGGAACAGGCCTAGACATAATTTAGAATACTAATAACTTACAAAGAAAATCATTTCCAATTATTTGGAGAGCTATATCTTATGCCATACTAATATTTTTGAACAAAGAGATACCTTAAACAGTAAGCATCATCTCAAAAGTAACTTTACAGTCTCATAACAAGAGTATTTGTAATCTTCTTCTAGAAAAAGAGAATTGTACTCCTCCACACTTAATGAAATAATAAAACTGAAATTTCCTTACATGAAAAAAGAGATGTTATAATTCATAAATTAGAGATTTTTTTTTATAAAATTTGTTAATGTTACTTTTCTACTTTTCCTTGTTTAACATACATGCAGTGTCAATTTTAACTGTTATTAATAGTGTGATATCAAATAATAAAATTGGAGTTATCAATTTAGTTCGTCACAAAATATTTGGTTATGAAATAAGTGGATTAGGGAAAAATAAGTTACAGAGTAAAAAAAAACTTTTCATTGAGAAAGTTCATAAGACTAAAATACTCACCAAAATCCATTAAGGAGAGAGTCCATTCAAAGATTTTCTTTTTAAACATAAAAAAATATTGATTTTTTGAAATATATAGATCCACCTTTAACATCGGGCTAATCCATCTTCAAACTCACTTATCTCTAACTTTAGTTTAAGTTAGATGAAGTTAGTCTTGACCTTCAGTCTCAATCGACCTGTCTCGACAATTAAATCAATTTGGGTCATCTCAACCTTCGGCTAAGGGTGAGCCTGAATTTGGGTTAGGAACGAGTCAAATGAACTCGGGTAAGGCCAACATGGTTGCAATTCGGTTGGGACTGATTTAGTCAAATTTAGCCAAATTTCAAATGGGGCTGACTTAATCGAATTTTGGCCAACTTTGAATTTGTTGAATTTGGCCTTCGTTTTAGGTTAGCCTATCTCAACTGTTGTCCTGAACTGGTTAGTCTCGATCATCAGACAGATAGACTCATCTTGATCATCGGCCCGAACACAACCATCTCAACTTTCGGCTCAAGTAAACCCATTTTGACCTTTGGCGCAGACCATCTCGTATCGACCTTCGGTCCATTCTTGATCTTCGGTCTTTGCTAGTCTGTTTCGAGCTTTGGCCTAGGCGATCAATCTCAACTTTCAGCCTTGGTAGTTCGCCTCGACGTTCGGTTCGAGTTGACCCTTATTGACCTTCAATTACTGTCTTGATTTTTGGCCCAAGACAACTCATTTCGACCCTTAATTTGTGATTCCGTCCAACATTTTTGTCCTAAATAGCTCATCTCGACCTTCGGTCTAAGTTAATTTAGGATAGTCCAACTCAATATATCACCTAGAATGAAAGTATTATTTTTAAGATTTAATTAAAGTCTTCTAGTAAACTTTTTTTCCTTAGGAGCCTTGTTCAAGGGTGGAATTGCCATGAACATTGACTGCTTTAAGTAAAATATGAGGAACATGTTATCCATTCCAAGAAATAAAACCGTTTTTTTCTTCTAACACTTCTAACATGTTACCATTTAGCACAAGAGAGACATAATGAAAGATACATGCCATGTAACGAAGGTACATTAATTTTAGAGGAAGGAAATAAAGTAGCATAGAAAAGTATGAGGTACTATTAAAGGATCTATCCAGAAACAATTTTGGAATTTGTGTGAAGATGGTTGTTTGGTCATGTTGCATAATGGTAATGACTAGAGCGATGTGGTTGTGAAAGGTGTTGTTGTGAGTCCTCAACAACCTGTACCTTGCTGTAAAGACCTCTCCATGCTTCTTCTACCAACCAGACCAGGTTGTTCATTATCTTGGTTTTGATTTGCCCTCTTCTTGGAGCAACTCTAACCATCTTAGCAGTTGCAGAATCAACATTTGCATTGGTTTTTGGCATTGCTCAAGTGAATAAGTTTTGAGGATGAGTTGAGACAAAAGGTTGGTGCATATTTATATTGCTTGAGTTGAGACATAAGTTCTATTTCTCGTACTCTTTGTCCCCTACCCCTCCTCACAAGAAATGTGTAAACCAAAGTTTATCCTCATTTAAGTCATAAATATGATTTCTGCCGTAAGATAATGATTAGTGGATATGATATATATGTGCTGTAAAAAATATAGCAGAGACAATATGAAACACTATGGAGCTGTCGGATAACACAGTAGACTAAGTCAAACCCTTTTGCTTTAACCACCAGACGAGATTGAATGAAAATAACTCTTAACCAATGTATTGATTTGAACCATTTTTGTGTCTGCCATGATAGGGGACACAATTGTGTGATACAAAAAGGTGTAATATTAATGACAAAAAAGCCATAGAACATATGGGTCCACAGGTTAAGCATGAAACACAATGAACACAAACATCAGTTAAAACCTCTGTCTGAGTCGATTAAGTACATATACTTCCAAGAATGTTTACTAGAAAAAAACTTGTCAATATGATTTTTTTTTATACATTTGGGCAAATCCATCACATATATTACTACATATTGACAAATTTTAAAAAATTAACATAAATTTTTATAAATTTTGGTGGGTTTATAAAAAAAAGTGTCAATTTGTCCTCAAAATGGATAAAGGAAAGTCATTGTAGACTACAAAATGGATAAAGGAAATTCATTGTAGACTACCAAAATGCATAATACAATGTTATTCATGTCATGGCTTTCACCAAAATGGTTTTAATTTTGTGTTTCCTTCACTTTCAAATTCTTGCCATGGCTTTCTCCTCTTAATGAACCAAAACCCAGGGCACTAAACGACTTTTAAATTTTCAATATCACTTATATTTCTGTCCTTTGCTATTGGTGATGGATTCTTGAAGCGTTGCAAAAACAACATAACTTGATTATGCTTGTATTCTAATGTTTAAAGTTGAATGTGATTTGTAATATGTGAAAGATATATATTATTATCTCAGTCCAATCATTTCTAATTCTTGCTCGAATGGTGGTCTTCATCCAAGACATGACATGATAACCACATTATCATGAATCTAACTGCTTATTTCACTAAACATGGCAAAGAAAACAATCACATATCTAGGTCATAAGTTGACATTCAAAAATTAATAACTTAAAGATCAATGAGTTCTCACCTTTAAATATAGTATTTGAGTTTATTGTGCTATGGGCCTACCCATAACTCTAATTACATTTGAAACATAGGTTAATACTACCTCCAAACTCATTGGACATAGAATTTTCTTCGTCTCGTAATTACCAATAGGTAAGGTGTTATTTTCAGGAAGCATCTCCTTCAATAACTTTAACAATTCTATGAAACTTTTATCGGTCCATTCATTCATTATTTTTAAACTAAACAATTTCAATGTTACGTGTAAAGTTAGAGCATCCTGGATACAACTCTTGCTCTGAGTCGTTCTTAAGATAATAATATAAATGAACTCTTCCAAATTTTTCTTGACCAACATGATATACCATGTCCTCTAAATGGTCATTCATCAATTCATTCACATAATTTTTTTCTTATAATGTTATAGGATTGTGTAGTATTTTTCCATGTCAAGTCCAAACTGTATAACTTCTCATTATACCATAGATGAATAAATGATCATGCATATTGTCGAAGTCCCGACGTATTTGATTAAGACAACGAACACAAGGACAAAAATATGTCTCGTTCATAGAGTTTGCATGTTCTTCAACATATTGCAACAACTCAAAAACTCCCTTTTCATACTTTTCATTGATGCGACATTCATTCATCCAACTTCAATTCATATTATGTTCGTAACAAACTCCATATAGTTTTTAAGTATTTAATAATTTTTTTTTCTTTCGAGGGATTACCTAATAAATTAAAAAAGCATCAACTTCACTATTTCTTTGTCTTAAGTTATTTCATTAGTTTCCATATATGATGCAAATCTTATATATGGTGATAATGAAAAATATTGACAAACTAAAAGAAAAATTTAAAAATATCTCTTGAATGTATACCAAAATAAAAATGGATAAATATTTTATTTTCAACTAAAAATAATTAATTTATTAAGTACTTTAGAAAAAATATTAGGTGCTCAAAACAATTACTAGTCATATGTTAAAGATATAAAACTTTTTTAAGCTTAAAGTATATATTGAGTTATTGATTATATTTTAATTCATATAATATATCGAAACAATAAATTATTAAAAAATTTATTAATTAAGTTATATAGTTAATTAAATACAACATTCTAAAGGTTTCCCTTAGAATTTTATGTATGCATATTTTGCATTTCATTTTTGTTTGCTTCTTTTAACTTTTATCAACTTCGAATTCTTCTTTTGAAATTATATTATTGTAGTTGTGGTGTATCTTTAATGGTAATTTTTTTGAAGGAAGTAGGGTATTTGTCTTTTCTTTTTTAGATTTAAATTTTCCTCTTTCTATACTCTATTAAGTTCTCTCCTAGGCTCTTTATAACTATTAAGAAGAGTTTCAAGGGTCAAACTCTTGGTAAGATTTCCTATATGCAACCTCTTGTCTTGTAGCTATTGAGAATTCAGGATAGTTATAATTCTATAAGGAAATATTCCTTTTGATCATTATGCATGTCTGGCCTTGTGGCCATAGTTGATAATTTGGATGGAGCACTTTCTTGTGCAGAGAGAACAAAATCTCTTGATGCCATTTCTGAAATAGACCGTGTATCTATATTGACAAACGGTGAAGCTGGTCATTCCTCTAAAGTTGCTGGATTTAGAGTTGGGGAACTCTCACTTCCTAATGGAGAGTCATATTGTGGGTCCCTTCTTGGTAACATTCCTGAGGGTCAGGGTAAGTATGTATGGTCAGATGGTTGTGTATATGATGGTGAGTGGAGACGGGGGATGAGAAATGGATTTGGGAAAATACAATGGCCTTTTGGAGTAATGTATGAAGGTGAGTTCTCAGGTGGCTATATTCATGGTACAGGAAAGTATGTTGGTCCGGATAATCTGACCTACAATGGCCGGTGGCGAGTAAATCTTAAACATGGGTTGGGTTATCAAATCTTTAACATGTTAGATATTTGTTTTTGAACTGCACATGGTTGCCCGTGACAAATTTATTTAATTTATCTTTATTATTTTTATTAATTGAATAAGTCTTTTCTATTTCTAAACTTTAGGAGAAAGCTATTCTCTTTTATCTTAGTCAGTTTGTTTGTTAGGGTAAGTATTATAAATGTACGCAATTGACATTTGAATAATATAAGAGTTCCCAATCATCTTTCATTCAATTTATATACTCTTCCTGTTTCAATCCTTCATTCTCTGTTTTTCTTGCTGCTCTCATTTTAAACCAACAATTGGTATCCTGAGCCCTTTTTCTTACGGACTTGTGAAAATGGATGTTGAATCAAATTTCTCACAAGTTGCACCTCCAGTCTTTGATGGAGAAAGCTACGATCTTTGGGATGTCAAAATGGAAGCTTACCTAGAGACTCTAGATCTTTGGGAAGCTGTAGAAGCAGAGTACGAAGTTCTTCCGCTGCCGGATAATCCTACCATGGCCTAGATCAAAATTCACAAGGAGAGAAAAACTAGAAAAGAAAAGGCCAAATCATGTCTATTTGCTGGTGTTTCTCAAACCATCTTCACAAGAATTATGACTCTTAAATCAGCCAAAGAAATTTGGAATTATCTAAAGGAAGAGTAAGCTAGGGATGAAAGAATAAGAAGCACGCAGATTAATTTAATGAGGGAATTTGAATTGCAAAGGATGAAAGAGTCTGAAAAAATCAAAGAATACTCAGGCAAATTGTTGGGTATTGCCAACAAGATAAGGTTGTTGGGCAGCAATTTTCCTGATTCAAGAATTGTTGAGAAAATTCTGGTAATGGTGCCAGAAAAGTATGAAGCATTTATTGCTTCCTTGGAGAACACAAGGGATTTGTCTAAAATCACATTTGCAGAAGTGCTACATGCATTCCAAGCCCAAGAGCAACGAAGTTCGATGAGGGAAGATCATGCTGTTGAAGGTTCTCTTCTAGTTAAAAGCCAACAAGCCAAAAACTACAAGAAGAATCATCTATCCAGTAGTCAGAGCAATACAAATAATTACGATAAAGGAAAAGGTGGAAAGAAAAGTTACCCACCTTGTCAGTATTGTGGCAAAATGGGTCACCCTCCATTCAGATGCTGGCAAAGACCTGATGCTAAATGCAACAAGTGCAATCAAATGGGACATGAAGCAATCATATGCAAGTGCAAAAATCAACAAGAGGAAGAAGCTAAGGCTGCTGATCAGGAGGAGGAGGAGGACCAGCTATTTGTAGTTACTTGTTTCTTGAGCAGTGAATCGAGTTAAAGTTGGCTGATAGATAGCGGTTGTACCAACCACATGACCTTCAACAAGGCTCTTTTCAGAGATTTGAGGCCAACTAATGTCACTAAAGTCAGAATAGGTAACGGTGATCATATCTCAGTCAAAGGAAAGGGGACAATTGCAATCACAAGCTGTACATGCACAAAGTTCATTCATGATGTTTTTTTTGTTCCTGAAATTGACCAGAACTTATTAAATGTTGGTCAATTGATTGAAAAAGGATTTAAAGTTATTTTGGAAGATAAATATTGTTTGATTAAAAAATGCAGCTGGTCAAAATATGTTTAAGGTAAAAATGAAAGGAAAGAGCTTTGCTCTAAATCCATTGGAGGATGAGCAGGTTGTTTTTTCTTTGAAGGAAAATGTCACAGAAATCTGGCACAAGAGACTCGGTCACTATCATCATCAAGGACTACTGCAAATGAGTGGAAAAGAGCTAGCACTTGATATTCCGGTGCTAGAGAATCAAACTTCAAACTGCAAAGCCTGTTAATTTGGGAAGCTAAGCAGAAAACCTTTTCCAAAGACAACATGGAGAGCATCAAGGAAGCTGCAATTGATTCACACAGATGTTGCAGGGCCTCAAAGAACACCTTCATTGAAAGGTAATCTTTATTATGTTCTCTTTATTGATGACTTTACCATAATGTGTTGGATCTTTTTCTTCAAGAACAAATCAGAGGTCGCTGGATTTTTTTGGAAGTTCAAAGCCAAGGTTGAGAACGAAACTGGTTTCAAAATTCAGATTTTGAGGACAGACAATGGCACTGAGTACACATCTGAAAGATTTAATCAATTTTGTGAGGATTCTGGCATTGAACATCAACTAACTGCTCCCTATACCCCACAACAAAATGGGATTAGTGAGAGGAGAAACCGATACATCTTGGAGATGACGAGATGCGCGCTGTATGAAAAGAATTTACCAAAAGAATTTTGGGCATAGGCAGCACATACAACTGTTTTTCTTTAGAATAGACTCCCCACCAAAGCTTTGAACGATCAAACACCATTTGAGGTTTGGCATGGTTAGAAACCATCTCTGAAATTTCTTATTATATTTGGTTGTTTGTGCTTTACTCATGTTCCACAGAGCAAGCGAGATAAGCTGGATAAAAGAGCATCACCGGGTATCTTTATAGGCTACAAAACAGTCAGCAAAGCCTATAAAATCTTTTAGCCGCAAATCGGAAAAATAATTATTAGCAGGGATGTTCACTTTCTGGAAGATGATAAAAGGAAGACAAATTTGGTTTCTACAGATGTGAAGTTCAAATCTTCAAACACAAGACAAAATGAAGATGAAAGCTAGCAAAATGAATTACTAGATGATGATCCAGTAAGAGGTACCAGATTGCTATCTGAGATTTATGAAAGATGCAATATTTCTGTTTGTCAACCTGCAGATTATGAAGAAGCAAAGAAAAGTCCGAATTGGAGGGCTGCAATGAAGGAGGAGTTGTCAATGATTGAGAAGAACCAAACCTGGATTCTTATGGAAAAACCTCAAGGTAGAAAAGTAATTGGGGTCAAATGGGTGTATAGAACTAAATTAAATGCTGACGGTTCTATCAACAAACACAAGGCAAGACTCGTAGTGAAAGGTTATGCATAGATTTTTGGTGTAGACTACTCATATACGTTTGCACCAGTTGCTCGATTGGACACCATTAGGTTATTACTTGCTATAGCTGCTCAAAAGAATTGGAAGGTTTATCAACTTGATGTTAAATAAGCTTTTTTAAATGGTTTTTTGCAAGAAGAAATATATGTTGAACAACCCCAAGGCTTTGTGAAAGAAGGAGAAGAAGATAAGGTTTATTTACTCAAAAAAGCTCTTTATGGGCTGAAACAAGCCCCAAGATCCTGGTACAACAGAATTGATGATCATTTGCTGAACTTGGGATTTCTCAAAAGCTTAGCTGAATCAACACTATATGTTAAGCATGATATAACTGACATTCTTATCATCTCACTTTATGTGGATGACCTTNTGGATTCTTGAAGCGTTGCAAAAACAACATAACTTGATTATGCTTGTATTCTAATGTTTAAAGTTGAATGTGATTTGTAATATGTGAAAGATATATATTATTATCTCAGTCCAATCATTTCTAATTCTTGCTCGAATGGTGGTCTTCATCCAAGACATGACATGATAACCACATTATCATGAATCTAACTGCTTATTTCACTAAACATGGCAAAGAAAACAATCACATATCTAGGTCATAAGTTGACATTCAAAAATTAATAACTTAAAGATCAATGAGTTCTCACCTTTAAATATAGTATTTGAGTTTATTGTGCTATGGGCCTACCCATAACTCTAATTACATTTGAAACATAGGTTAATACTACCTCCAAACTCATTGGACATAGAATTTTCTTCGTCTCGTAATTACCAATAGGTAAGGTGTTATTTTCAGGAAGCATCTCCTTCAATAACTTTAACAATTCTATGAAACTTTTATCGGTCCATTCATTCATTATTTTTAAACTAAACAATTTCAATGTTACGTGTAAAGTTAGAGCATCCTGGATACAACTCTTGCTCTGAGTCGTTCTTAAGATAATAATATAAATGAACTCTTCCAAAATTTTCTTGACCAACATGATATACCATGTCCTCTAAATGGTCATTCATCAATTCATTCACATAATTTTTTTCTTATAATGTTATAGGATTGTGTAGTATTTTTCCATGTCAAGTCCAAACTGTATAACTTCTCATTATACCATAGATGAATAAATGATCATGCATATTGTCGAAGTCCCGACGTATTTGATTAAGACAACGAACACAAGGACAAAAATATGTCTCGTTCATAGAGTTTGCATGTTCTTCAACATATTGCAACAACTCAAAAACTCCCTTTTCATACTTTTCATTGATGCGACATTCATTCATCCAACTTCAATTCATATTATGTTCGTAACAAACTCCATATAGTTTTTAAGTATTTAATAATTTTTTTTTCTTTCGAGGGATTACCTAATAAATTAAAAAAGCATCAACTTCACTATTTCTTTGTCTTAAGTTATTTCATCAGTTTCCATATATGATGCAAATCTTATATATGGTGATAATGAAAAATATTGACAAACTAAAAGAAAAATTTAAAAATATCTCTTGAATGTATACCAAAATAAAAATGGATAAATATTTTATTTTCAACTAAAAATAATTAATTTATTAAGTACTTTAGAAAAAATATTAGGTGCTCAAAACAATTACTAGTCATATGTTAAAGATATAAAACTTTTTTAAGCTTAAAGTATATATTGAGTTATTGATTATATTTTAATTCATATAATATATCGAAACAATAAATTATTAAAAAATTTATTAATTAAGTTATATAGTTAATTAAATACAACATTCTAAAGGTTTCCCTTAGAATTTTATGTATGCATATTTTGCATTTCATTTTTGTTTGCTTCTTTTAACTTTTATCAACTTCGAACTCTTCTTTTGAAATTATATTATTGTAGTTGTGGTG